GCCCAGCTGTTGCAACAGCTCATGATGTTGATGAGCGGGGACCGAGGCGAAGAGCAGAAGCTCGTGCATGGTCAGGGATGGAGATGCGGAGGACCTCTCCCTTAGTTTTCCGACCGGCAGTAGCTTAGTCGTAGTTCACTCCGTACGGAGTAGGTAATGATCATAACACAGGATCGGTCGGCACGGAGAAAGGGAAAAGCTGGTTTGCGGGAGAACCCGGGAGATGTTGGCCCACTCGGAACGGTTATATAAGCAGGGTCTCGTCACACATTGAGTTGATTGAGTCGATTGATCGTCGATTGTTCAGAGTACTTCGTATAGAGTGACCTAGGGAGTACTCCGTAGTCTGTGGAGGAGCAATAGTTGGAGTGATATGATTCTGCCTACTCCGTATTCCGTACTCCGAGAGTGAGGAGACCGATGCGGGGAATGAAATCCGAATGGCTGTTAGAAATGGTTATTAGTGATGGGGGGCTGATAAGAGTGACAATCATGAGGGGAACATACCTTAACTTACACCGTACGCCAAAGCGGGTTGGACGATCCTTCGGGGCTTTCGGCCGGGGAAGCGAAGCAGCATCTGATTGAGACGAAAGGTACTTGGCAATGGGTGAGGTTGGCCGCAACGCCGAAGTAGTACCTGCAGGCAGGATCAGACGGTCGATGGTCGGAGAGTTTTAATTACATACCATACCCGATGTGACCAGCCATCGCCGTCGTTTGCCAGCGGAAGGCTTCCCCAAAGGAGGAATGAGCTGTAATTTTGCCGTGAGCTTACCGCCGACAGCTTATCAATTTTACCTTTCTTTACCCACCACCTCCGGCGCCCTTCAAGAACCCTCGCTTCCGCTCCGTCTTCCTCCCCGTTCTTTTCTCTCCCACTTCCACTCTCTCTCTCCGGACGCGTTCTCTTCTCTTCTCTTCTTCTCTTCTTCATCTCATTCTCACTATAGTATAGTCAACTTTCACACATATAACTCCCCTCTCTGTCGCTCCGCTAGGATCATTCCTAGCCTCCACCCAGCTCGCCTACTCGGTCTCTCCCGGACGAGAACGGACCCGCGAATTTCCCCCAATTCGCGCCGACCCCTCGGAATTTTCTCCCTCAACCACTTGAATTCCTCCGTTCTCAAAAACACCCAATTCCCATCTATCATTCACAATGCGTGCTACGGTCGCTCTCCGCAACGCTGCCCGCACCCCCCTCATCCGCTTCCTCGGACGCCGCTCCGTGCCTCGTAAGTCCCCTGATCCTCCGCTCAATGGACATTCGCCTAATGCACCCCGTAGAGTCCGTTGACCACTCGCCCCGTCCTCACCCCGCCTCTCCGTCGGGTGCCCTCCCCGACTCCTTCGCCGCCTACCGCTCCAAGGCCCAGCAGCACGGTCCCCTCGGCCGGGCTTCCTTCATCCAGGGCAACATCGGTCGGAGCGCGGGTGCCGCGCTGGGCCCCGTCCAGCCCAAGCAGGGCGAGTTCTTCGACCGGTCTGAGCTGGGCCCCCGCTTCGGTCGTCTGCCCTGGTCTGAGGCCGAGATCGAGGCCATTGAGACGGGTGGTGCCAGCCTCTACGCTTAGACGTATCTGCCATTCCCATTCGGGTGTTTACATACTCTACAAGACGCGACATGATTGATGATGGGTCGAGACGTCCGGTGACATTGAAGACGTATGACATGTCATGCTGAGATGAGGCTGAGACCTGGGAGAGTCCACTGTCGCCTCGACCTACGACGAGCCGGACACCACATCATCGTATCTAGTGGACACGATTGGAAGTGTGATCAGGAGTCCGCTTCCGATCTTTTCTTTCTTTTCTTCTCTATTCGTACACGGCGCTGGGGTTGCTAGTCTTCGTACTTAGCGGTTTATTTGATTTTGGGCGTGAACAGTGGTTCTTTGGCTACAGGATGGGATTGCACGGTCGGGCATAGAGTCGATTGCTCTCATTGAAAGTGTGGAATTATGACGTATGTACATAGTTGTTGAGCATGGACCTCGTCAGCTGTATTCAATGAGATATATTGCTCACACTCACGTGCCGTTAGTACCTAGACTTGGACACTTAAAACGACCCCAACTGCACTACTCCGTAACTCTAACATCAATATCAACATGCCCACGAAACCATCCTCCAACCGCATCACCTTCACAGAAGTAGACGAGGTCAACCATCCCACTGCAACCTATATCTACTCTGCCGACGGACAAAACGGTCGCGTCGATATAGTGGTACGTTTCCGCCAATGCTACTAGGTACCTAGCTCCAGCTAACACGGTGACAGCTCCCTCCACACAACTCTCAAACATGGTCCCTCCGCGCCCTCAAGACCCTCCTTATCGAGGTCTTCCTCCCAGCCGGATACCCGCACAGCGTGACTGACGACTACACCGCGTGAGTGCCCTACCTCGGTCCCTAAACAGCATCGCTAATCCCCGCAGATACCAGATCTTCGTACGCCCGTACACCATAACTACCATACCATATCCATCTAATCAAAGCTACCTAGGACTCCCTCCAAGCCTTCAGCAGCTCCATCGCAGGCCTCCTCTCCTCGCGCGCAGTCCTACAAGGTCAACTATCCCCACTCCCTCCCGCATAACCAACCCGCATACTAAATAAGGAACAGGCGTCGGCGTCGGCAACCCCAACGCCTCCCCCACCTCCGCCCTCCTCCTACACATCCTCCAAGACACCTCCGGCCGCCTCGCGACCATCCTCTTCGCCCACCGCGTCGGCACCGCCCTCCAGCCCGAATGCAAGTCCTACCGCCTCGCCGCCGACCTCTTCAACGACCTCGCCATGATCCTGGACTGCCTGTCGCCCGCGGCGCCGGCCGGCGCCCCGCGCGTGGCTGTCCTCAGCGCCGCTGGCGTGCTGCGCGCGCTCTGCGGTGTCGCGGGGGGTAGTTCCAAGGCCAGCCTGAGTGCGCATTTTTGCCAAAGGCGGGAACATCGCCGAAGTTAACGCCGTACGTTCCTTCCCCTCCTCAAAACAATATGCCTACAGTAGTGGCTGATATTATGCTGGGGGGCCGCCGGGTAGAAAGACTCCTCCCAGGAAAACCATCATCTCCCCTGCTCGGCATGCTAGCCGGCTCGCTGGTCGTCGCCCACGTCACTTCCGCGACGGCGACATGGCTCGCGCTGCTGGCCCCTGCTGGCCCTACATCTAGCCCTCAACTACGCCGCCGTCCGCGCCGTGCAGATGACCTCGCTGAACCGGCAGCGCGCAAACATCGTCTTTGCGACGCTTCTCGACGCGGACCCGGCCCTGCGCGCCCTCGCCCTCGCGCCGCAGGTCTCGGGCCCCGCGGATGGCCGGGGCGTGCTCAGCCCCGCGCAGGTCGCGGCGCGGGAAGCCATTTTCGAGCGGGACGGGGTGCTGCGGTGGAGTTCTGCTGCCGCGGCGGGGCCGGCGCCCGTGCTGGGGGTGTGTCGGATTGGGGTGTCGGTGGGCGAGTTTCTGCGGTGGTTGGGCGGGGCCGGCCGCGCTGGTGTGCCGCTGGGCCGTTTGCAAGAAGCGTTTCGTGCTGAGGCGTATATCTTGTTTCTGGCGGGCGGGAACGCGGCGATCCTTTTGAAGCGCGGGTGTACGCCGCGGGCGCAGTTGAAGGCGTGGATGCATGCGCTGCTGGCGGCGCGGGTGCTGGGCGATATGCACGAGGCCGGAGATGAGACGGAGCGGGCTTTTGGCGTGGTGGAGAGTACGCTGCGGTTCTTGGATCAGACTCGTGTGGATGGGTACCTTGATGCGCTGACGCGGGCCGGATGGGATGTCGATCTGGCGGCGCTGGAGACGAGGCCCGGGCGGAGGATAATCTGCGAGTAATTCAAGCCGATCTACACATGTAGGATGGATGTAAGACGATCTCAGGGTATCTATTCAATGCTAAAACTCAATGCTAGCGATGCAACCGATGGTAGACCCAACGCCGGCCAAGCCGTACTCTATGACAATTTTCTTCAAAACAATCCGCAATGCTGGTTCGCTCGCTGCTGCTGGCCCGGAACGCCGGCTGTAAATGCAATCCAAATCATATCCAATGCACAATGCATGACACCGTCCACTCATGTCCAAGTTCCGATGCGTATAAACATTAAGAAATCTCGTCAGATGCCCATCAGATCATGTATCATGTCTATTGGGGGTTGAAGGTCGAAGGAAGCGGAGAGACTGAAAGGGATAGCGGGATAGTCATTCCTCCATCGAGGGAAGCTTCATGTTGCTCCCCGTGCCGGACCGCTTCTTGAACCCCAGCTTCAGCCCCATCTTCTTCCACGGGTTCTCGGTGCGGGTCTTGGGGCTGTGGGCGAGGTTCAGGTGCGGTTCGCTGGACGGCGGCGTGGTCGGCGGCGTCATGGGCTCGCCCACGCTGACGTTGGACTGGAGACTGCCCGAGTCATCGGTCAGGGTGGCGGACCCGGAGTCGCCGCTGGCGCTGGAGACATGGCCGGAGGTCCAGTGGGAGGGTTTTGCCATGGCGGTGACGGAGCTGAGGGAGAAGTTGGGGCGACTGGGGTGACCGGGGTTGGCGACGGGGTGCGATGGGAGATCGCGGGCGGACGACTGCGGCGAGATCCGACGACTCTTGGAGCGACTGCGCCGGGCATGCTCGTCGAGACCGGAGCCGGAGACCACCATGACATCGTCGTCGGAGGGGAGGGGTTCCGAGAGCGGGACCATCTGGGCGGCGGACGCGTGGGCGTTCAGGAAGGGGAGGAAGATGGACTCCTCCATCAGCTCGTGAACCAATTTCAAGGCGACATCGAGCGTCTGC